ATCCAAACATGAATAGAAACAAAGGTTAATTTCATTGACACCCCCTCAAGTTTGGTCAAATATCACCCTGAAATAACTTTCAAAAATTATTATCACTTTTGTTGCAAAAGTTTGCTCCATCTTTCACTCACACCCCCAACTGTTAACTCTAGACCTCTGACACCATGTAAAATGACTTAAATACCCTTTGACTCTGACAAAAAAAATCTTTAACCTAAATACATATACTAAAAGACTAAATTGTCCCTAAATATTTTACAAATTTACAATTATATATATATATATATATATATATATATATATATATATATATATTTACTCGTATATATTTGAGGCTTTACTCCCAGTGTCGGCGGCGGCAATAATCTCCACCACCAGATCTCCGTTGGACGCACACCATCAACCCATCAACGGCGCCGATCTGTTACGAACAAGTGTTGTGATTTGTTATTATTATGAATTGTTGTGTTTGGAGGTGGAAAAAATTGTAGTTAGGGAAGAGGTGAAAAGGAAACAAAAAAAAAAAGTCGAGGTATCTCATTCTCTTTCTAATTGTTCCATAAAAAATTAAGTTTGATAATTCAATCGATGAAGGGAGCAAATTAGGGTTTGAACAAATTTGGGTTTGGTTAATAAACTTTGTGGTCGGAAAACTCAAAATTGGCGACGTCGTGTTCTTCATCAGGTGAAGCAATTCAAAGGAAATGACCAAAGCTATGACGATGAAATCCAGAAACCACTTGGTTCAGATTGAAATTTCTTGGAATTTTCGTCAATAAATTGAATACGCAAATTGAATACATGATTATATATATATATATATATATATATAATTCTATTCTGTCTCTACTTTCTCACTATTACTCTCCCACTAATTAGTTGATACCTTCAACAAACATGGAAACTTTGTGTATAACCTTCCAAGTTTTCTCAAATTTTCATTTTCTTTCCAAATCCTTCTAAGGAAAGAAAAAGAAACCAAAAGAACTGTTTATGGAAAAAATAGTAATAATTAAAAAATAATAATAATAATAATAAATTCATTGATGATTAAGAGCAACAACTAGTGAATTAGGTGGTGGAGATGAAAGAAGAGGTATATTAGCAAAAAGGTCAATTCATCATAGTGGTGTGGTGGTGGGAGGTGGCCGGTGCCGGAAGAGAAAGTGTGTGAGTGACCTATGAGGGGGATGGGGGTAATTTCATCCTTATGTAATAATGATATTTAAAATTAAAAGGTATTAAAAAATGAGGGTAAAAATGTCATTTTACACCCATTTTGATGGTGTCATTGACGGAAATGTGATTTGGGGTGTGAGTGATAGGATATTTCGAAAGATATTTTAAGGTGATATTTGATCAAACCTGAGGGGATGTCAGTGAAATTAACCCTAGAAATTATTACTATCTTTTCTTTTATTTTCTCTCCTAACTAATATTATCATTTTTTTTTTTTCTCCTACATATCCAAATGTACACAAGTCTTTTGTGTCTTGTAGCTAAAATGGAAGAGTGACAAACAATAGAATACAGAATAGGTCTTACCGACTCCCGTATATATTGCCTTATTTGTAAATAAGTATAAATTTTTAATAGCTTCTCCCTCAATCCCTCTAATAATTTATCGCGGCTGAGGGGCAAGTTGAGCTATAGGCTGCAACAAGAAACATGGCATTTAACCTCGGATAAGTCATTTGGGCCTATGGTGTCTAATGCAGTATTAGGTTTAATTTTGACGTAAATGTAAATAATTTCTTGTCTGTAGCTGCAGGTGAAAGTTTGAATTTTATTCAACTCTTACAAAGGAGGGACACTTTGCACGTGTTCTGAAAAATTAGTTTTTTTTTTTTTTTTTTCCTAAATGAAAGGAGTATATATATAAAACAAAACAGTACATAGAAGCATATGAGGACAAGCCCCTCGTAAGGGAAACAAACCAAAACCTAAAAAAGGACAAAAACAACCTAGGCTAAGAGCAACTGAGGATTACAAAATGTCCTGTAGATTAACCCCCAAAACATCAAGAACCTCCCAAAGTATACTTTTAGCTAGCTTCTTAGCCTGTCTTTCTTGCTTATCATGTAAACGATTATTCCTTTCCCACCAAATGAAATACAATATAGCAGTAAACATAACTCTTGCCATCTTCTTAACATCCTTTCGTTGCTGAAATTGGATAAACTGAGTTGCTAAATCGAAACCCCTCTCCAAATTCCAACCACATATTTCAGCCAAAAAACACCATACCTTCCAAGTATAATCACAATTATAGAACAAATGGTCCAAAGTTTCAACATCTCTATAGCAAAGACAGCAACTTGATGCTAAAATAAAACCTCTTTTCTGTAAAAAAAAATCTGAGTTTTGATTGCTTTCTGCATAACCAAAACATAATGAAGCGACCATCTTGGCCTCCCCCCACTCCAACATAAACCAGCCCAAGCGACATCCTCCATTTTCACTCTAGCAGCTTCCCATGCAACCTTAAAACAAAACGGTTGAATCCATTTAATCTGATCCACCCCACCTGTAATCATCTGATTTTTAAACAACAGTAGCATTTCTTGCGTAGAGTTGCTTAGTTTATCTCATCCCAGTGACTATTTGTAATGAAATCACACATACTAATCTTCTTATCACGACTCAGGTACCCAAGAGTCCTACGGTTAAAGAGTTCTCTTAAGAACCTGCCTTCACACCAAGGATCCATAAAAACTTTTATATTCTGCCCATTTCCAATAATGTATCTGCAATTGACCTTCAGAATCTCTCTAACAGCAATAATACTAAGCAACTTTAGGAATCACATTCCAGTCAGAAGCCTTATTCAGATAGCAATTTGAAAACCATGCCACCCACAGCCTGTCCTTAGACAATAAAAAGTCCCAAGCAGCCCCGATATTCCAATTATTGAAAGAATAAAAATAAAAATAAAAATAAAAATAAAAAAACTACTCTATAGTTCTTTAAGTTTAGAGCGAGAATGGTGAAGAGAAGGCTCAACCTTTAGGTTATTGAAATTGGAGGGCCACTGAAGAGGCTAGAGAGCTGGGGAAGGAGCCAATCAAATATAGTAATTTAATTTTGTCAATTTAAGAACATAAAATGAATTTTAATATGAAAATTTGTATGTATATTTTATCACACAATCTCTTTCCAACAGTTAAATGCAATGTCTTAACACTTGTGTATCATTAAAACATATAACAGTTATAGTAAGTGACAATCTAAAGAGTTGTCATTGGGCATAAAATACCAAAATAACAGTCTAACTGAAACTTTTCTCATGTGGCCTGCCACGTTCAACATACATTCCCAAAGAACTAGCAAGCTGTAACTTCAAGAATAAAGAGCTAGGCAAAAAAACAAGATTGTACTTTGTCATTCATCCAAACTCGAATCCTATATTGTATGCATAGTTGGACGTGCATCCAATTGGAATCGAGTCTATCAATTCATTCACCAATTCAAACTTAGAATAATATACAATATTGAGCTTAATATAAAAATTAAATTACGTACAAAAAAATTGTTGTGGTTAGGTCACCTTGTCTCTACGGGTTGAGCCGTGACATTGGATCAAAAACTGAGTTTGGTTTTTATACCAACCGTAACAGATGGACGCTTGCTCGTTAACCCAAAAATTTAAACTATTCAGTAAATGTTGCATACACATCCATTTATACCCATTTCATCTCCCATTCAAATCCAATGTGAGACACCTAACAACTATCCCAAACAGGGACGGACCTACAAATCGGGGGCACCTGAATTTTTTTTGTTACTGATATGTCTTTCTAAATTATTCTTTTTCAGTTATATAGCCCTAAAATATTACTATTGCCCCCTAAAATTACTAAAAAAAATATCATCCCCCCTTAATGGACTGGGTCGTGATCCCAAACTTATCTCTTAAACTTAGAACACCATTATCATTTTCCTAGCATATCTTCAGTAGTGTCAACCACGAACACAGACACATGCACTCTCGTGAGTACACACAGCTGAAATGACAGAAATATTTTGAAGATAGGAGAAGTGTAGAAAGATAAAGTAGGCCAACAATCATGTTTTGCGAAGATAAAGTGGGAGAACCAATCCTCTCTGGAAAGATAATTTATTGATTAAGATTACATCATCACTAATGAGTTTCATTTATCAATCAATCTCAATCGCTGAATTATGTGCTAGAGAGGACCTCTCCTGCGCCGGAGAGGATCTGGTCCTTTACTACTAGCATTGCAAAGCCCAATAATCTCCTCTCCTATATATAGATTATCGACACAGTCTTAATGGGCTCCTGAGTGCCCTAAACATTTGGATCCCTGTGCCATCCACATCAATGAAGTTACTTCATGCATCATCACATTTCTACATTTTAGTCAATTTGGCAACGGAAACACAAAAACAAAATCGATTGTCAAACAAGCCCTTGTTTCAAAGAGTACTTACTTGATGCCATGCTAAAAGCACAAACCACACCGGCAAGGGCATCAACTTTGTGTAATATAATAGCCAAGTCAAAATACCTTGTCCCTCCAAACCGCACATTGACAAAATTTGCACCATAAATGACCTTTAAAACATTGTCTTCAAACAATCAACTACCAAATAAAACAAAAAGGTAAAACTGAACCATTTCAGAACTCATCGGACTTGTTGCTTCCCATTCATCAAAGCGAAAAATTCCCATTTCTCCAACAAGGCAAATAAAACTGCATAGGTATTGAAATGCATACCCCCAACCAGTAGCAATTGCTTTGTATATTTTTTCTCAGTACCTCACATAAACAAAATTAGCTCCCCAACTAGTGAATTTTTCAGCATTTTGCAACCAAGAAGCAAATAAATAAAGCAAAAGATGAACCATATCAGAAGTCAGACATTGTTGCTTCATGCTATCGTAACTTTTTCTGAAGAACTCACCATGATTAATCAGGGTGACAAATTCCCATTTAACCGGCAAGGGAAATACAGTTTATTAACGGTTGCAAAACATATTTCCAAATGCTAACTCCTACTCAGCTAGCATTAATGCGTAAATTATCATAATCAACGGTAAATAAAGGACACCATCCATACTAAAACAAACATGGAAATTCTGAGCTTCATCTGATTACAAGAATATTGACAAACCTGAACTAATACCAATCACACTAGCTGCAGATTACAAATTTAACTGCAAAACACAAGGAACAAAAAGTAGGGAGGCATAAGGAATGCCAACAAGTTACCTATACAACCACAACCACGGCCACCTCAAATAAATCCTACCAAAAGGTCAGCTTAACTTGGAATATCATCCATTTCTTTCTTGCTGTTTTTTAGCAGAGGGCCAACAGTTAAGTCAGAAGCATACCATTTCTTCCACTAGGTTTTGTCTCTTCTTGATTTCTTAGTTTCTTTGCCAAACTCGGTGAGAATACGGGATCATTGGTATGCTAGTTATAATATTTAACCAACCACAGAAGGGGGAAAAATAGGAAAAAGGAAGAAAAAGACCAGAGACAAGGGGTTTATGCAGAATTACTGCTAACTGCTGGAATTGGGGTATTTTGCATGTTATTGGGTGTTGCGTGTCAATCCACTTCGTGCTACACTCCTGCACAGAAGAATTACATGTCATCTAGCAGGGACAAATAAACAAAGTACAAAAGATCAAACAAGTCAATCACTTTACAAAGTCATAATTCAGTACACAAGCTTTATGTTGGGTAAAAACATCCCTTGCTCAGCATAGCAGAAGCAAATCACAAGCAAACATGGAGATCCCGTCACAAAACAACAAACAAAACACAATATTTAACATGGTTCAGCCCAACCCGGCTTACGCCCATGGAGAGAAGAAAATTCCACCATCATTGATGAAGAGAATATTACAACTGCAGAGAATGCCCACTCCCACACTAACTCATGAGAAATTACACCGGCAGAGACTTTGAAGACTGGACCGTGTACACACACTCTCTACTCAAGTATAGTGTCAGATACCCGAGCCTTTCACGATCTACCACTCCACGAGACCCGTACTACTCTACTAGTCATTGGTCGTCCACCATTCACTCATATCATCTATACCCACATATACTCACCAATTTCTGTGAGCCTACTTCCATCTACTCTTTGCGCCCACTCTATTCTCTTTTCTTCTCACTCCTCCATTTTCTTTTCTGCTCTACCCACTCAACTCCCTCACTATTCATAGGGCTCCTAACTTTTTGGTAAAGAAGTAAGACGAATCCTTGTTGGGCAAGGAATACATCTACTTGGGGCTAAAGTACAATTACTTTGGGCCCAAGTCTAACAAACTTTTTTGAACCATTACAATTCAAAGCATAGCCCAGTAAGAATTTGAGACATACATAACACTTTAGAAACAATGATCTTAAAACTTTAACGTGCAAGTCATTCTAAGTAGGAACCCCATTAATTCACTGCTAGTTCAGACGAATACTAACCAAGATGTAAAAGTAATTTACTATTAACAATCGTAAAGTTGTTTTCACAGGTTCTGAAAGAACACATAGATACAGCAAGTACAACGTTTGGATGATAATCTTGTATATGCACAACTCAATGCAGATTGCAGAGAACCCAACTACTCGCTTGGAAACATAAAAAAATGAAATAGTGATTACACACTTAATTCTAAGTCAACTTTGAATCTTTGGCCATCATAATTGGCTCAGCACCATGTCCAGATGGCTAAATAAAAAATAAAAAGGTAATAAAACAAGGATTCACTAGCTCAGCCCCAAACTGGCAATTGTGTTGTATAACATCACTTGAATAGAACCACTGGGCCATTGGCCTAGGTGGTATAACCTCTCCTCCCAAAGCAGAGGTGGGGGATTTAAGATCCAAGGGGGCAAAATTTCGTGTGGGTGTATGTGAGTTGTTTACCAAACCAAAAAATAAAATCACTTGAATAGAATAAAAGAAACAGCACCTGGATAACCTATCAAGACAAGTTTTCTCAAGGAAAATAGAAAACTACTCGAACAAAAAGAAAAGGGTATAAATACATTATAACCAAGTGGCCAAAACAAAACATGCCCAAACATTTATGGATCAGTCAAAACCCATCTGAGTAAGAGAGGTGAGTTCAGGAGAGTGTAACCAATTATACTTCTATGAAGATCACAGTTCCAAGAGTGGGCCAAGTAACAACATATTGGCCGTCGCAATGGACTCCCCATACTCAGATAACAGATCACACAGATTTTAGCATGGAACTAGGTCATTTACATGACTTGGCTGTACGACACAGGCTGATGGGCCTCAAATCTCAACTTTTACAAGACTTAGAATTTAAATTTTGAAGTGGTCTTCCAATACTTCAAATAATCTGTACATTTTTCGTTTCTTTCTTCTTCGTTTTTCCCTGTTTCTATAACATAAAAAGTGTATAATCAGTACTTTTATATATCATATATAGTTCGCCAAACCGGCTGGTTCGCAATAGGTTTTGGCACGGACGTTACCAAGACTCACTGGTTCCCTATAAAGCCAGCCAGTTCTCTAATTTTGCAGCCTACTCGCCATTGAACCGGTTGGTTTTGTTGTGAACTCCCAACAGACTTTTTTGTTCAATAAAATGGAAGAGGTTGAGAGGAGTCAAACCACAAGTTGAATTTGTTAAAAATACTCTAACAGGTTATTTATATTTGTTTTAGAATGTATGGTATTTGTTTAGAATGAATAACATGTAAATTATGGGGATGGAACCGTAGACCTTTGAGAGAATTACCAAGGGATCTACCACTTTCCCACTCTACATCTTTGTTATATTCAATGATATTTTATTTAATTTAAATAAAATCTTCATTTTTTTTTTGACACAACTGTTAACTCAAAGGCTTCAACCCAAGGGCACTTGCATAATTTTGATGATAACCTATTAATGTGAAAATTTGACAATCTACATGAGTGTAATTTACAGATTATACATATTGATCAAATATTCAAAGCTCATGTGAGCCCATGGACTGTGATAATGATGCTTACATGAAGGTTAACATCATGGGTAGTATAGGTTGGTGAGCGTTTGATGTAGGATGAGTAGCGTGGGTGATGTAGAACTAGAAAGGAGAAGGAGAGAGACGAAAGAGGAAAGAAGAGAGAGAAGAAGAATTGAGCGAGAAGAAGTTTGAAATCACAAATCAATATTATTCAATAATCATAAAAAATTGATCAATACAATACATATTGCTGCAACATAGCAGCAATATTTTGATGATAACAATTTATTAATGTGAGAATTTGACAATCTACATGAGTTTGTAATTTACAGATTATACATATTGATCAAATATTCAAAGCTCGTGTGGACCCATGGACTTTGGTGATGATGCTGACATGAAGGTCAAGATCATGGGTGCTATAGGTTGGTGATGGAGGAGTGAGAGAAGAAGTCTTAAATCACAATTTAATATGATTCAATAATCATAAAAAGGAGATTAATACAATACATATGCCCATGTATATATAGGCAACCCATAAGTCACCTAAGTCCAATATTGTTGAAACATAGCTGCTATAAGTAAATGGAAGTCAAAAAAGATTGCCATGAATCCTAATGTAGCCGTGCCTATGCAGGAAAATAGTTATGCCTTAGCCAACAAAGCTGCAAGACAGCCGGCCTTATTTATAGACAAACTGAATCCTAAAACTGATTTAAAAGAAATATTGCAAAACTAACTCATACTTATTATAATTCCTAAAATATATAGAAAAACTCTAATATCTATCTGTCCTTGGCCATTTTCCAAGCATAGGTGAGAGACATATGCAATTCATGCGTACGGGCAAGTCCCGATCTTCATCAATTCTCGCCAATTGAGAAGATCAATGTAAAGGACTTGTTTCCTAAACGAGGCACTTTTAGCCTCCCACTTTTCCAACAGTTACACCTACAGGTGGAGTTGCATTTTCATCAGCACGAGTGCTAGTTCTTCACCGATTTAGCCACGGAACACATATCAAATTGCAGATATAGTCGACCATCAGATTATTACTTCTCATCAGGGTGGTGATCAACGGTATCTAGTTCGAAGGAGAGGTCGTCCGGATGCAGATCATGCGTGGATCATCAAGTATGAAATTCGGCGTATTGACCCCAACCTCTTGGAACAGTACCACGAACTTTACTCTCCAAAGAGTTCTTCTCGGCCGGGGAGAATTGAAGGAGATTTCACCGACTCTCATCCACCACCCCCTATATATACCTAGTATTGGCACCGACGCAAAGGATAGACTATCTTCCGGTACTGAAGATAGATTCAGCTACATGTCTCACTAGGCTCATGGCAGCCATTCTTGACTATTATGTGATTGTATTAGATATGGTAGCAGTTATTTTGAACTTGATGTTTCTTTGGTTTGCCTATATATACGCAGGCATATGTATTGGATCAATTACCTTTTGATGATTGAATAATATTAAGTATTGAATATTAAGTATTGAACTACATATTTCTTCTCCCCCAAATTCTTCTTCTCTCCTCTCTTCTTCCCTCTCTTCTTCTCACTCTCATTCTCTCTCTTCTAGTTCTACATCACTCACACTACCCATTCTGATTCTACTTCAGTGTTACGCTTGAATGTAAAGTAATGCATGATGCATGTGTTGAAAACTCAATTCTATGACTCCTAAAAATGGACCTAGGACTAATTGAATTAATTTTATATTGTATCATGGTCCCTAGTTGACTGACATGACCCTTGGACTTAGGCCTCGTTTGGCAAGGCTTTTACTTCTGCTTTTATAAAGAAGAAAAAGAGAAGCACAAGCTATCACTTTTATTTGGCTTATATGAGTGTTTGGAACTGCATTTTAGAAGAGTTTTTAATGTTAGAAGAGTTTTTTTTTTTTTTTTTGTGAGTGTTTATCAACCTAAATTGAAAATAAACAAACCTAAAAAAGGAAATTAAATACAACGTTTTACATACAAGTTCACCTTTTTTATATTTTTTTCTTACGAGTTCACCTATTTTCCAATTCAATTCTGAGGTGAGAATAAAAGCTAAAGATGGAAAGATTTTTTTTCTCATTCTGTGACCTTTTAGAATGATTCTGAGGAAGCTTTACATACATGTTCACCAATTTCCCAATTCAATTTTTGTGGTGAAAAAAAAGCTAAAGATGGAAAGAAAACAAAAAAGCTAAACCAAGAATGAATCAAAATATAGATTAGATTGCAACAGTGAAATATATATATATATATATATAGTTCTAATTTTAGGGTTCTCTTCTTTGTTTTTGTTTTTGTTATTGCTTCTTTTTTTTTTTTCCTCCGGTAAATACAAAGAAATATCATGAGGGGAGTATGGAACCTACAAGACCAAGAAAACACAGAGATCCACCTGGGCTAAAGCCCCTGTGCAACTCCAATCCCAAATCGAAGGTGGAAGAATTCTTAACCCTACCACCAAAGAACTATGATCCCACTCTGTGGGCTGAAGCACGTGATTTTTCATGTTCCAACTCTGGACAAGATTGTAGCTGTGGACATGCATATTAGATCTCTGCGTTTTCTCGTAGGTTCCATATTAGCCCCATGATCTTTCTTTCTATTTACCGAAAATAAAAACAAAGAAGAG